CTCACAGTTGACTCCACTTATGACTTATAATACCCGTACCTGTGAGTACATAGCTCGGGTATTGGGAGGAATTGAGAAACACTTATTACATATTAATTCATGAGAAAGTATAGTCTAGCTTGAAATTCTGACAATAATCACAACCAGGACCTTGCGTCTTATATCCTTTAACCTTTTCGCCATTCAAAAGGTCCAGTCAAAACCAGTCATATCCTCACGCAGTTCCTCAAAACATGGGAATCCATCCTTGGCACACTCAACATATATCAAAAACACACATAGTACATCCATCCCTGGGTCAGCTAACACTTCCTCTCTCTCCGACTAACTCTACAAAAATAAAAATAGTTCGATAGTTCAGCATAGTTCAGAAAAATAGAATAAGTCTTTCATAGAGTATAAAGAAATCAGTTTAGACACCAGACATTTTGTTCCATAAAATGGCTGAGTAGCAATATGGCTGACAACAAGACAATGTCAGCTTCCACATAGTTCTTCTTTTGTTTGCTGGATTTTCACCACAATGCTCTGTGCAACACCTCAAAGGGTTATTACAGAACCAGCGGTATTAGACAGCACTGCACCTTCAGGACTTTCCAGTTTCTTGCGTGCAAAGTTTATGTCCTCATAAATAAGTATCTGTTTCCTCGGCCTGCATGGATAATGACCAAACAGATGTAATTGCAAAATACTTATTGCATGGTTAACCAGAGAGATTGGTGTGTAGTCCCAGAAATCAGATGGCAAACACTCCAGGACGGTCTCTACAATCATACAAACATAAGGATCAATACAACATCAATTAATTAACTACCTAGGCTAAAACTTAAATTAGAGATTAAGGTTAAACCCTTAATTTGTGTAACATGTATTTCTCTTATATTTGCTTATATTTTATGCAATCTGTTTCTATCAAGTTTTACATAATACCCCTTTGGAATGCCTTTGTATGGATCAGACAAGAACTCACTCTATATAAATGCTTGTTAGGATGAATATTAAAACAATAACATATACATATGGGGATAATTCCCAATAAAACTCTGTTCCTGAACTTGAACCTTGGTTTGATACTCAAAATTAATTACTTTAATAATCTCGAATAATTCAATACTCTTGGATTAACACCTAAAACTATATAAAATATTAAAAACATGAACCATCTGTGTATTAGGCTGGGGCTGTTGGGTGTGGGTATAGATTGGAAGCTGTGGTTGGTATTGAGGAATCTGTGGGTTTGGGCACTCATTTTTTCAGTGACCCTGCTCTCCACAATTGCTGTATCTTCCCAAAAAATCATTTGGGGTCAAAAAGGGCCAGTCACAGACCAACAAGGAACAAAAGTGAACAAGGAGGAAGCATATTCCATATGCAGGTTGGGTTTACCTAACTCACACCCCCTCTTTGTGTACCCCTCTTTGTGTACCACACATATATAATATTAATAAGCTTTTAAAGGTTTCATATAAAGCAAGGTTGTCTAGGGGTATATACACATCGACAATGAAAGCATAGCCTTCGTATAGGGCTTGCAATACTGACAGTCTGTGTCATGAGCGTAATGCAGACATGCGGTTAGGTACTTTTCCATTGTTATAATATATTGAAAATACTAAGACCTTGCAAATTTTTTAAAACGCATATTGCTTCCTGTACCTGTTTCCGTGCAAGGATGTAGTTGGGACATATTTCAAATTGAGTATCAAAAAGTTTAACCACAAAACTAAATGTTATACACTTATCAAGAAAACAAGTTTAACCCGTTAGTGCATACTTTGGATAGCCTCTTTGCATAATTTGGCACCTAGTGAGATTATTATATTATTTATTAATCCTCTTCTGGATCTGCAAAATGCTTTCAATTTACCCATACACATATAATACAGTAGTTTAGGAGATTAAAATTACCTCACTTATAAATTTCCGAAATTGTCTAATCTCTATTAAAAATACCATGTTATTATTACCCCATAATCAATGAGGCATACTAGATGAATTTTACTTTGACACAAACAATGCAATATACTTTAAAAGTAGAGTTAACTCTGAGCTGGACAATACTCCCCTCTTAGAAATCCTTTATGAGGGAGAGACATCTTGTCCATTCAATCCTTTTTATCCTTTTTAAAAGAATGACTTTCAGGATTAATCAATTTGCAAATTGAAACGTGGATCCACCATTTGAACAGCACAAGTTTGCGGGGCCCCTTTCACGTGGGATGTAACAAGCGCTTTTCTTGCTCCAGGAGCGATAGCATACAATTGTTTCATTCTAGCCGGCTGGACCGCATTTCACCTTTTGTAAAAACACTAAATGCTTGCTTTAATGATATGCAAATCACTCTGCTAGTTAAACTCCTACACAACGGATAACAAAATACATAAAACACATAACACACCAATTCATTTC